GATTTTGACTTACTATGTAATACAATAAAACATTTTTAATGGAACTAGATAGAATGAGGAAGTGGATGCTGTATAGAAATTTTTATCATTGATACAGATGTCACCAGTTTTTTTTAGAAGAAACATTAAAGATAGCTCAATGAATATACCAAACTCAGAAGGTCTGTATTTTGGCTTAATATAAAATGCTTTAAAATTTAAATGCAATCCCATAAAGCAATAACATTCTCATCTCAGAACCATCTATTACTTGCATTATGGGTGGCAAGAAACCATTACATTATCTAGAATATAACCTTTATTATGCCTTTAAAAAGTGCATGTGCGAAATGTTGGTTTTGATGTAAACCTCATAATTTAAAATTTAACATTTAAATTAAGTTAGGTTACCATTTTCACTATCACCTAAATATATTGATCCAGTATAGAAAGTTAATGTTAGGCATGAAGATTCACAGTTTATCTTTTCAGGCTTGTTTTAAGTATATTAAGTTTATACCTTTAGCTTTATAGATGAATTAAAACCTAAACATTCCTACTACAGAATTATATTAATTAGGCAGTTTTCCAAAGGTGGTGAACATCATACGAATTTAATTGTGATGTTTTGAGGGTTCATAACTTAAATCTATTATAACATTATGGTATCCATAGTTCAGGGTTGTAGAGAAAGGCTTCAAAGAAAATTTTTTGTTACTGCAAAATAATACAATTTATGTAAAGAACAAAAACTTCCAACTTATCAAAAGTTTATCTAAATACTACTAGCTATTAAAAGTAAATTTTTCATACCTAAGTTTCATAAGCATATGTAGAGGCTAAATAAGCATATGTAGACATAAATATTAACATTTAGTTTTAAGTAGGAAAAGATAAATCATTACTGTAAGTTAATAAACTTAGATCAAAGCCAACCTAGTTTTAATTCTATCTCTTTAGCCTTCTCTGCTTGCCATAATTAACTCTAAGTGCTTTCAAATACCTATAAATTTTACTATTTATCTTATATCCCCAATTATACTAAGTCCCCAGGGAAAAGAACCTATTTTATGTTTCTCTGTATGTCTTGAGACATGGAAAAATACCTTTTATGTTGCAGGTATTAATAAACATCTGATGAATGAAGTTCTCCTTTAATATACAATTAACATATTTATTGAATACTGTTTATGTGCACTCCTCCTGTGTGTTTTTTCTTACCTAAGGTACTGTTTCTCAAAGCATAAAACTTGAAAATATATGGCTAACAATAGGAAAATAACTACCAAACAACCAAAACACAGGATATAAATTGTGAAAATGTTCTAAAACTAAGAAACTATAGAAATATACCTGAAATCCCAGCACTCAAGAGGCTGAGGCAAGAGGATCCCTGTGAGTTCAAGGCCAGCCTGGGCTACATAGTGAGTACCAGGTCAGTCTCAACTACATAGTGAGACCCTGTCTCAAAGAACCAAAAAAAAAAAAAAAAAAAAAAAAAACCTAAGATAGTAAGACACAGTTTCACAAATGAGGTGGTATTTTAACAGTTATTTACAGTAGCAGTAACAGTAATAGTTACAGGTAACTATAATATAGTAGCTAACATTTTAAAGAAATCTTACTGTGCTAGTCTTGAAAAATTTTAATGTACTAATTCAGTTTTTAATTCTCACTACAACGCTATGGAGAAAGTACTACAATTCTCACCATTTTCTTGGATTAAGACACTGGGATGCTATTCAGTTGTTTCATACCAAGTAAACAGTGAAATAAGGTGTACAAGTGGACTGGGTAGAAGAATGGATAACACGAGTGAATGTTAAAGGATAGGATTAAGCATAGCTTGCTATTTGAAAGTATGGAAACCAAATTGCAAGTCTACAGCAGAAAATACTTGCAAAGGCTCCTTAGACAAAAGGCTGAACAGGGTAGATATTGATGAGTATTTTAAAAGCCAGGAAGAGAAAATTAAGTAGGTGAAAAATACTAAGACACAAATGGCTCAATAAAAAGTATTACAGTGATACCAGTATAGAGGATAAGTAGAAGGAAGAGACATTAGATTCTAAGAAGCTAATTTAACTTTCAATTTTTTTAGGCTCAAGAATTAAATATTGGGATTCAATCAGAAAAGAGATATGAGGAACAAAAAAAAATTTTTGCACAAGTTGTTTGAGTTAATATAAAAGGTAAATGAAAGAGGAGGTTTAAAGACAATGTTTAAAATGGGTATAGTGGTGCACACCTATGATCACAGCATTCAGGAGGCTGAGGCAGGAGGTTTGCCGAAATTCAAGGCCAGTCTGAACTACATAGTGAGTTCAAGGCCAGCCTGAACTACGCAGCAAGACTTGTCTCAAAAAATAAAATGCTTAATGTAAAGTCTACATTACCAACTAGAAAGTTAAGGGACTGTATTAACAGCTTTCTGTTACCATGACAAAATACCTCATTAACAAAATTAGGAAGTTTATTTTGGCTCACAGCAGAGATTTCAATCCATGGTTATTAGGCCCTGTTGCTTTGGGCCTGTAATGATACAGTACATGGTGGATGGGAGCACGTAGTAGAGGAACCCTATTTACCTTGACATCAGATAGGAAATAGAGAAAGGAGGGGCCTGCTCCCCATATCCCCTTTGAAGGCATGCCCCCAAATATCTAACTTCCCTCCACTAAGCCCTACTTTCTAAAGGTTCCACAATCTCCCAATCATGCCACAGCCTTGGTGGTCAACTCTTTAACACACTGACCTTTGAGGGACATTCAAGATTCAAACTATGGCAGGCTTACATAACGATGATTTCCTTCAAGGACACACTGAGCTTAAGCAGCTGATCAGAAATAGTAGCAGAAGACCATTACCAAAAAAATAGAAAATGAATGAAATGACAAATAACAAAATTCATTTTAAAGTAAAAGAACTGAGCAGAAGTTATATTAATATTAATAAAAGAGGAAATACATTTACATTAAGCCATGATCAGCTGGCACTAACTCTGTATTAATAATTTTACAGAAAAAGCACAGAAGTTCCCAAACTATCTTCATTCATGAAGTTCTTTAGTAATTTTTCATGGCATCTGTAGGTAAGAAAAAAAAAAGCAAGTAGGCTCAAACAATTAAGTATTAATGTCCTTATAATTTAGTGTCTGTTGGTCACTCTACAACTTCTCAAAACTTGGAATCAAATTAGACGCTACCATACCATCATTTCCTGTTCCACACTGACTTTCAAGTAGCAAATAGTGGCTTTGTAACAAATTAACCTCTGGATATATTGCTTTACAAAGATACAATATTGTAGAAAGCAACGTAGGTATCTAAAGTTGAAACAATGGAACACCTTAAACTAATATTTCCAGTGAAAGTTCACTGTTTTTGTGAGCACCTTAGGCCCTTTCATTTCTTTAGGAATGAAAGAAAGGGCGTTGCAAGGGAAAAATAATATAAGGAAGCACAAGAAAGTTCCTAGTAGAGTCAACCACAAGAGGGCAGCACAATAGTCGAAAGGGGCAGGGCAAAGGGGCTCAGAGATAACAGAGTCAAGCCTAAGCATAGGGAGGCTATAAAACCCCTCAGCTAGTTCGAGATCTGAAAGTCCTTTTTCGTCTTATACTAAAGACAGCTATCAGTCACTGGTAGATCACCTTAGGCACTATCATTCTGCCTTTCTTTGAATCTCCTTTGCCAGCCCACCTTTTATAGTAACCAAGATTTTTGATTTTTTAAGTCAGAGTCTCAAGTGTTACCGGGTCTGGTCTTGAATTTGCAGGATCAAGTGATTCTCCCTCCTCAGCCTCTAAAGTAGCTGGAACTGAAAGCATGTGCCACCACACAAGCTTATTAGCCAAAACGTCTATTGTAGTTAAGCGATTTATTACTCTGCATGTATTTTTTCAATCTTCACAACAATCATATAAGAAGCTCAAGAAGATTTTAATAATACAATTGTTAAGGGGCAAGAACACCATGATTCAAACCCAGGTCTGACTCCAAAGCGAAAGTATGTTCCTATTTTGTCTCAAAAGCATCCCATCTTTCAAGAATCTCCAGGTAATGTAGAGAAAAGATATTACCTGAGATACCTGTCTTAAATCACTAAAGTAAAAGCACTAAAAGAAACTACAGTATTTCTTAACCAGTTTCTAAACCAACCCATAAGCTCCAAACAAAAGATTTTTAGAGCAAAAGTAAGAATAATATACTAATCTAGCTGGAAAGTACTGCAGCTTTCCTCTACAGGCGAATACAGGCAGCTACTAGGTGACACAAGAATTATAATGGCAAGTGCTGGACACATTCAATTTCCCAATATGCTACACTCCAACAGATAAGTGCACATACAAGAAGCAAGAGATTTCACTTGAGGTGGTAAAAGATGAGGCCAATGAGGGAAGAGGGGCCAAAAGCTGAGTATTCATTTTCAAATCTGCTGGGTCTTGTATCAGAGTATTTGCAGTATATAACAACAGTTATATATATTTGCAGTATAACAACCCACTTGTACAAACATATTATGAAATCAAAAGTAATCATCATTTCCCTTATTCCCAATTTTTCATCTCCACATTTCTTCCTCCCCTCTCTGACATACTCAGCTGCTCCTATCCTTTCATTCAGAGAAAAGCAGTTTCCCTGACAGATTAATGCCCACTGGAAAGCAAACCGAGTAAATTCAACCGACACGGCCACCTCAGGCAGATAAAACCATCCAGGAAGCATTCGATGTGGCAACAGAAACCCCAGCAAGAACAGCTCAATAGGGTTTTTTTAATTACATAGAAATATCTCTCTTTGAAAGATTAAGAACCTCTGGCTAGTTGAGGAGGAAGAAGGCCTTGGTAGTTGTAAAAACAACACGAAATGCTCCTTAAAGAATCTAGGAACAACAACAAAGACCCCAAATTACTGTCCCACAGCAACTTCAAAAGTTCAGCAGTGCCATTGTCAGGGTAAGCAACAAGGAACCTTGACTTTCCACACTGACATCCAACCTCTTCCTTCGCAGGTACTCACAGCTTTTGACACCCTCGCCTTTACTGCCGCAATAGAGAAGAGCCAGGATCCATACCCTCCAAAGCGGGAGCTGGAGGAAGGGCCTTTTTCTGCAGGAGAGAAACAGTTCACATCTTGTTCCTGTTGCCTGCTTCTGTAAAACTAAAAATAGAAGCAGCAGTTACTACCTCAGAAATCCAGGGGAAATAGATGCTCTTTTCTAAGCTGCTTAGGTGTCTAGAAAATTTTACAGGGGTAAGGAAGAGGAGGAGAAATTATAAGCACGGATGCAAATATTAACAGCAAGACACTGCGTTCTGGGCTTTGTCTTAAACAGGAAGCTTTTCTGGCTGAGAAGTTTACTGCCACTGGCAGAAGGCGGAGGTCAATAGGTGGGAAGGGGTTAGAGACAATTGCCGCCCTCCATCCAGAGGCCGGGCAGCGACAACACCTACCGGCCGCAGGGACACCGCGGCGAGACAGCGCCCCAGAGTCCGAAGGTGCCGCGCCTCCACTTCCTCTCGGGCGAGCCGAGGTCCGCGAGAGTCCCCGACCAGGCGCGGGT